GTGTGAATTATTATCCTAATAATGTTGAGTAGTCTATCTAAGAACATAAGATGTCCTTTCATTAATTCAGTCTAGTTTTTTATATTTAGTAGTTGCTTAAAATACCTTCAAGCACTTTCCTGAAGTCTTCCTCACATAGATTCTGCATGTTTCTTTTTAGATTTATCTGTAGTGCCTTCTGACACACACACACACACACACACAGCTACTTTAGCATGAATATATATCCTGTGTTTCTGTATTAAGTAAGATTCTGAATTTGGGGCTTAGGCTCGTGTGTGTGTGTGTGTGTGTGTTTTGCCAATAGCTTTTTTTTCTTGTGAGGTGTTTTTGATGAATCAGTAATTTGGGAGAAAGTGATTCTTAGCATCTATGGGATCTATGGGAATGATTATTAATTTTTATTCATATGTCTTTTTGCATTATTGTTGCAAAAAAGCATGCAACATAACATCCTCTCAACAGTTTCCAGGTGTACAATACAATATTGTCAACCACATGCACATTGTTGTGTAACAGACCCTCGTCCTGTCTCTCACACTCCCTAAACAACAATTTCCTACTTGCCACTCTCCCCAGCCCCTGACCGTTACCATTTTACCTTCTGTTTCTATATTCTACTTATATACCTAGTAGGTGAAATCATGTAGTATTTATCTTTTTTATAATGGCTTGTTTCACTTAACATAATGTCCTTAAGTTTCATCCACATTGTAGTATATAACAAGATTTCCTTCTTTTTCATTGCTGAATAGTATTCAATTGTATGCATATACCATATTTTCTTTATCCATTTTTTCATTGATTGTCATTTAGGTTGTTTCTGACTCTTGGCTATTGTGAATAATGCTGCAATGAACATAAGTATGCAAATATCTCTTCTAGGTCCTGCTTTCAGTTATTTTAGATATATATTCAGAAGTTATATTTCTGGATTATATAGTAGTTCTATTTTTATTTTTTTGAGAAATCTTCATACCATTTTCCGTAGTTGCTGCACCATTTTACATTCCCACCAGCAGTGCAGAAAGGTTCCAGTTTTTCTACATCCTTGCCAATATTTGTTATTTTTTGTTTTTTTCTGACAGTGGTCACCCTAAGAGGTGTGAGGTGATACTTCATTTTGATATAGATCTTTTTTTTTTTTGAGACGGAGTCTCACTCTGTCACCCAGGCTGGAGTGCAGTCGCCGGATCTCAGCTCAGTGCAAGCTCCGCCTCCCGGGTTTATGCCATTCTCCTGCCTCAGCCTCCCGAGTAGCTGGGACTACAGGTGCCCGCCACCTCGCCTGGCTAGTTTTTTGTATTTTTTTTTTTTTTTTTTTAGTAGAGACGGGGTTTCACTGTGTTAACCAGGATGGTCTCGATTCCTGACCTCGTGATCAGCCCGTCTCGGCCTCCCAAAGTGCTGGGATTACAGGCTTGAGCCACCGCGCCCGGCCCGATATAGATCTTTTTAAATGGTGAATTTTACTAATGGATTTTGTGATTTGGACCATCTTAGCATTCCTATAGTAAATTCCACCAAGTCCTGCTGTGTTGTGATTCTTTGCTCTTCTTTTTATTCTGTTCTTTTTAAAAATTTTAATACTTTTTTAGTGTAAGGTTTTTGTATTGGTATTCATAAGTGAGATTTTCCTGTAGAGAGAGAATGTGTGTATGTGTGTGCAATCTTTATCAGATTTTGATATTGATGTTATACCAGATACAGAAAAGTTTTTAAATGTACATACAGGCAAAAATCTTGGCTATTTGAAAGCCTTCTTGAAACTTGAATCTTTTGCTTCTTCTCTATCCCAATTCCACTGCTTTATTGCAGGTCATAATCACTTCACACCTAGATTATTCAGTTAATCATCTAACTGACTTGATTTCATTGTCTCACCTCTCTTTAATGCATCCTTAGGTAACATCATGGACAATCTAAAATGTACCTCCATTAATGTTTAGAAATATTTGCACATTCTTTTCCCTCTATCCCACATGTTAGTTTTTCATCTTGTCTCTGAAAATTGTTTATTCATCATTCAAAACCTATTCTTTATACTTGTGTTTTCTCTAAATTTTCACCAAATCTCTTTCCCTAGGGTTCATCACACTTAGCCGCCTACTACTTTTGTATCTTCTATGATGTCACATCTTATTTTGTGACTTAAAAAATGTGTATCTTTCTCCACTACAAGATTCTGAACACTTTGAGGGCTCTGACCTTGTGTCCCTAATAACTATCACAGTGCCTTACATAAAGTAGTTACTCAATAAGTGGTTTTTTTTTAAGTTTTTTAAAAATTTTTACCACAAATTATTGGGGTACAGGTGATATTTGGTTACATGAGAAAGTAGTGGTGATTTGTGAGACTTTGGTGCACCCATCACCCAAGCAGTAAACACTGCACCATATTTGTAGTCTTTTATCCCTCTCCCTCTTTCCACTCTTTCCCCCAAGTTCCCAAAGTCCATTGTATCATTCTTATGCCTTTGCATCTTCATATCATAGTTCCCACATATCAGTGAGAACATACGATGTTTGGTTTTCCATTCCTGAGTTATTTCACTTAGAATAATAGTTTCCAATCTCATCCAGGTCACTGCAAATACTGTTAATTCCTTCCTTTTTATGGCTGCATTTTTATTCCATCATATATATGTAAATACACACACACACACACACACACACACACACACACACACCCTGCAGTTTCTTCATCCACTCATTGATTGATGGGAGTTTGGGTTGGTTCCATGATTTTGCAATTGTGAAATGTGCTGCTATAAATGTGTGTGGAAGTATCTTTTTTGAATAATGACTTCTTTTCCTCTGGGTAGATACCCAGTAGTGGGACTCTGGACCAAATGGTAGCCCTACTTTTAATTCTTTAAGGAATTTCCACGCTGTTTTCCATAGCGGCTGTACTAGTTTACATTCCCACCAGCAACGTAGAAGTGTTCTCTGTTCACCAATCCCATGCCAACATCTACTGTTTTTTGATTTTTTGATTATGGCCATTCTTGCAGGAGTAAGGTGATATCACATTATGGTTTTGATTTGCATTTCCCCGATCATTAGTGATATTGAACATTTTTTCATGTGTTTGTTGGCCATTTGTATATCTTCTTTTGAGAATTGTCTATTCATGCCCTTAGCCCACTTTTTTATGAGATTGTTTGTTTTTTTCTTATTGATTTGAGTTCCTTGTAAATTCTGGATATAAGTCCTTTGTCAGATGTATAGATGGTGAAGATTTTCTCCCACTTTGTGGGTTGACTGTTTACTCTCCTGACTGTTCCTTTTGCCGTGCAAAAGCTCTTTAGTTTAATTAGGTCCCAGCTATATATTTGTTTGATTGCATTTGCTTTTGGGTTCTTGGTCATGAAATCCTTGCCTAAGCCAATGTCTAGAAGGGTTTTTCCCGTGTTATCTTCTAGAATTTTTATAACTTCAGGTCTTAGGTTTAAGTCTGTAATCAATCTTGAGTTGATTTTTCTATAAGGTGAGAGATGAGGATCTCCTACATGTGGCTAGCCAATTATCCCAGCACCATTTGTTGAAAAGGGTATCTTTTCCCCACTTTATGTTTTCATTTGCTTTGTTGAAGATCAGTTGACTGTAAGTATTTGGGTTTATTTCCGGGTTCCCTATTCTGTTCCATTGGTCTATGTGCCTTTTTTTATACCAGTACCATGCACATTCCATGTTCATGGATGGGTAGAATCAATATTGTGGAAATGACCATACTGCCAAAAGCAATCTATGAATTCAATGCAATCTCATCAAAATACCACCATCATTCTTCACAGAATTAGAAAAAACAACTCTAAAATCTATATGGAACCAAAAAAGAGCCCGCATAGCCAAAGCAAGACTAAACGAAAATAACAAATCTGAACACATCACACTACCTGATTTCAAACTATACTATAAGGCCATGGTCACCAAAACAAGTGTTTATTTGTACTTATTTTCATTTGCATGCCCTTTCCTGTACTGTTAAAGATGAGAACATTCATTCAGCAGACAAATTTCTTCCTTTCTGATGACTGTGGATTTACAGTACTTATGGACTGAATGAACCTTGTTGGTGAAATGAGGGTGAAATGCCCTTAAATTACGTTGTTAGTAGTAATATTCTACCCTTCATTTTTGTGCACTCTACTTTCTGTTGTCAGGGAGAAACGTGCTTTGTGGGGGTATAAATTTCCTTCTAGAATGATGAAATAAGGGTATCAGAGTTCAGCTAAGTTCTCTCTGCCTCTCAGTTGACTGAAGCTAGATTCTGTTACAGAGAGCATTAGTCCTGGCCTGAGGTGCTCATGGTTTATTGCATATAGGAGGGTATGTGATCTGGTATGTGTTGTTGTTTCATGTTCTGCAGCCTTTTGCTTCTCTTGATAGCAGACTCATTTTCATAAACAAGGTAACAGGAGTGGTTGAAGCTACGGTTGCTCTTTATCATTTATACATAGTAGGGATTCATGACCTACATCTCAATCCCATTTTAAAACTTTACTTGCAATTGTAAAATAGTAATATTAAGCAGATAATGAAAATTTATCAAACTGGATGCTTTGAATAGGTTTTATTCACAGCATTTGATTGCATAGTAAACTTTCATTTACTAGATTGGCAAATGTTTGATGCCTTAGGACTTAATAACTTGGTTTTTTCTTCCTTCCCTCAGGTTAACACTTTATTTGTTCATAAAATATAATTCACATGTTGGAAAAATCAATCCAAGTTTCTTTATTCTGTTTTCTTCACTTACATTATATACCCTTATTTCATTTGTAGCTACACATTTTTTAAGGGTAAAATAAACCCATAAATCCTGTCAGAATTGTAAGGTGCTAAATATCCACAATTTTAACTAATTTTGGTACATTTTAAAGTGTTGTATGTTGTTATCTAAATTTGTTTTATCAGCAGATATCTTCTACTTGGCATATGTATGTTGTAGAGTATTCATAAATACCATTATTCATGTATTAAACCTTTATTTTCAGCTCTTGATTCTGCACAGAGTAGTTGGTCTACCAGTTACTCTCCAAGACCAACCGACAGCTGTTTCAGTTCTAGTTCAGATGTGGTAAGTTATGCTTGTTTCACCTATTAATATATGTTATATTAATTAATAATTATTTGTTTTTCTCATAGTTTACCTTATAAAAATGTTGAGTCAAATAGTGTAAGTAAAAATTAATATAAACAAAAAAGTAAACAAAAATATATACAACTATTTAAAAATATACAAAAGAAAAATGTAAACAAAAATGTAAAATAAAAATGTAAATGAGTACCATTCTTCACATTTGTAAAGATAATGCTTTTACTGCCATTTACAAAACACCTTTTATCCTTTTATCAGGATACATTATATATATACACATATATATACACATACACATAAACACACACACACATTATGTGTGTACAGTTTATCTTTGAACATTGCAGGGTTTAGGGATGCTGCTCAGTCAGAAATCTGAATAAAATGTTTGACTCTGCAAAACTTAACTACTAATAGCCTACTGTTGGCCAGAATCCTTACTGATAACATAAACAGTTGATTAACACATATTTTGTATGTTGTACATATTATATACTGTATTTATACAATAAAGTAAGCTAAAGAAAAGAAAATATTAATATCTTAAGAAAGAGAAGATATATTTACTATTCATTAAGTAGGAATAGATCATCATAAAAGTCGCAGTCCTCATCATCTTCATGTTGAGTAGGCTGAGGAGGAGAAGGGAGAGGCAGAGTTGGTCTTGCTGTCTCATTGGTAGCAGAGGCAGAAGAGGTGGAGGAGGTAGAATAGGGGACAGGAGAGGCAGGCGCACTTGGTGTAACTTTATGGCAATACATCATTATTTCTTTCTGAGTTTTGATTTTTCGTTTCTCTAAAAATGTTTTTACATGGTACCAATCCTTCTTCTACTGTTTACTTTAGCTTCAGAGCCTTTATCATAGAAAGATCTGTGTCATAAAGAAGTCAAAAGAGGTCAACACTTTTGCCAGATTGTCTAATGTCAGAGTTTTCTGGCACTGCTTCTTTTATGTCTTCTTCCTTGTCGTCTGTAACTGGTTCTTAAGTACTCATCTCCATCAAGTTGTCTTCTGTTAATTCCTCTGGAGGGTATCTATTAGCTCTTTAGTTTTTGTAAGCTCCATATCTTGAAACCCTTCACCTTTCACCTTTTTTGCCATATCTACAATCTCTTTCATGATTTTCTTGATTAGCTCTTGTAAATCCTATGAAGTCATGTTCTATATCTAGAACAGTTTTCTCCTGCAGGGATTTCTTTTCTGAGTCTTGATGACTTTCATGGCTTTTTCTATAACAGTAATGGCATGTTCAATGGTATAATCCTTCCAAACTTTTATGATGTTCTCTCTCCTGGATTCTCTTCCATTGCATTGGCCACCCTTTCCATAGAGCACAATGTATAATGAACCTTAAAGGTCAGTGTGACTCCCTGATCTAGGGACTGAATTAGAGATGTTGTACTTCAAAACATATAAACTACTTTGACGCCTTTGGTATTGAACTCATGGAATGCTGGGTGACCTGGGGCATTATCAATATCAAAATAACTTTAAAAGGCAGTCCATTACTGGCAAAGCACTTACTGACTTCAGGGACAAAGCACTGATGGAATCAATTCAGAAAAAGCGTTTTTGTTTTCCAGGCCTTCTTGTTGTATTACTGAGAGACTGGCAATTGGTGTTTATCCTTCCCTTCAAAACTTGAAGGCGAGCAGCTTTATAGATAAGGGCAATCTTTGTCATAAACCTGACTGCATTTGCACAAAGCAGTAGAGTTAGCCTATCCCATCCTGCCTTAAATCCTGGTGCTTGCTTCTCTTCCTAATAAATATCCTATGTGGCATGTTTTTTTTTTTTTTTTTTTTTTTTTTTTTTTTTTTTTTTCCTGAAATAGGGCACTTTTGTCTCCATTAAAAACTTGTTTAGGCAGATATCCATTTTCCTCAGTGATTTCCTTTAAAGGCATCTGGGAATGTATCTGCTGCTTCTTGGTCTGCAGAAGCTGCTTCCCCTATTACCTTGATATTTTTTAAGCCAAAGCTCTTTCTAAAATTATCAAACCATCTTTTGCTGGCATTAAATTCTCCAGCATTAGATCTTTCAGCTTCCTTTTGCTTTAAGTTGTCATAGAATGGCTTCACTTTTTCTTGAATCACATTAGCGTCTAAAAGTATGCCTTTGTCATAGCAATCCTGCACCCACATAAAAGCTACATTTTTAAAACAACGTAAAAAGGCATTTCACAAAAGTACATTTGCCTTCACAAGTTTCCTTTTCTTTCTTTTTTTAAAGAACTATACTTAGATTTAGCTTTTACTTGTGTATATGTAAACTCATGCACATGAGGCCTTAGAAATTCTAAGGAAGAGATGACTGTCCTTCAATAGCACGTTCTCAACACTATATTACAGTGTTCTCTATTTGTTAACTAGTTCCATTCCCTGAAAGAAAAGACCAAATAATGCATCTCCAAAGGATCCTGCTTATAATTACATTTTAAATGTATATGCATAAACATATTATAATAAGTACTTATGAACAAAGGTAAGAAATATCAGTTAACCAGGCATGATGGTTCCTGCTTGTAATCCCAGCATTTTGGGAGACTGAGGTGGGCAATTGCTTGAGCCCAGGAGTTCGTGACCAGCCTGGACAACATGGCCAAAGCAAATACAAAAAGTTAGTCAGACATGGTGGTGTGTGCCTGTGGTCCCAGTTACTGGGGAGGCTGAGGTGGAAGAATCACCTGAGCCTGGGAGGTTGAGGTCACATTGAGCCATGATTGTGCCACTGTACTCCAGCCCAGGCAATGGAGTGAGACCCTGTCTCAAAAAAAAAAAAAAAAAATCACCAATAACATGTTATCAACACTAGATTACAAGGTTATCTATTTGTTAAACAATTGAATTCTCTGAAAGAATATAACTCAAATTGCTTCACTAAAGAAGCATGCTTAGATTTACCTTTTATTTATTTTTTGTTGATGTATAATATTTATACATACTTAATCAGGTATATATGATGTTTTGTTACATGACTCGAATGTGTAATGATCAAGCCAGAATATTTAGGATATCTATCACCTTGAGTATTTATTTCTCTGTGTTGGGACCGTTTTAAGACATAGCTACTAGCTATTTTGAAATATACATTTGTTTTTAACTGTAGTTATCCTACTCTGCTATTAAACATTAGAACTTATTCCTTCTATCTAACTGTGTGTTTGTACCCATTAACCAACCTCTCTTCATCCCTCCCACCCCCTGACAATGACACCTTTCCCAGTCCCTGGTATCTATCATTCTACTCTCAACCTGCATGAGATCAACTTTTTTAGTTCCCATATGTGAGTGAGAGCATGTCACATTTGTCCTTCTGTACATGGTCCTTATGCTGGGTTTATGTATCTTAAAATGGCGAGAAACTGCAGCTGCAGACCCCAGTTTATAGTACATACCAAGCAGTTCAAGCAATTAATTAATGCCATGACTTTTCTCTGCTTCTTGGGAGCACTTCCAGCATCACTAGTGGCATTTCATGTGGCTCCTTGGATGTTATTCAAGGTGTATGTTACTGCACTAAACATAGTGAAAAATATGCAAGAACCACAAGAGATCACTTTTTACTACAATATGCAATTTACCAGAGAGACCGCAACAGCAACAAGAGGTGGCTATGAAATTATTACAGTAGTACAGTATGTGCTACAGTTAGTTTTATGCAGTCATGATTTAATACTGAATATTTGTTTACATTTCTCTATGTTTATTTACATTTGTCTTGGTTGTAAATGGTGCCACTTATGGCCATGTTTGTGTGCAAAAGTTTTGATAAATTTTAACTTTTCATAATAGATCCGTGTATATTTTACAGTAGTAAATTATAAAGTAAACTAGTATCTACAGATATTTTATGCATTCATGATATACTTAACTTTTTCTTATTTTCTGAGTTTTTTCAAATTGTCACGAATCTCTAAAAAGTTTTCTAATGTATTTATTGAAGAAAAATGCACATATAATTGGACCTGTGCAGTTCAAACCTGTGTTGTTCAAGGGTCAACTGTGTATACACACATGATATATAATATATAAAAATATATAGAGATACATTTTCTTTCTTTTAAGAGGCTTTTTAAAAGAACCCATTAATAATAATTGGAAATGTAAAATAACCAATAATATGTTCAAAAATAAACTCTTCACATTTAGATGAAAACTGTAAAATGTTATTGAAAACTGAAACCTGAATAATTGGAGTGACATAGTATATTCTGAGTAGAAATGCTCCATTGCTGGTAAATCACATGTTTAAATGGAATTCTCCTCCATTCATTCTTTCATCTTCATTTTGTTTACCTTTTGTCTCTAATTCACCATCCAAGCAACTCTTGCTAAAGACACCAATGACTTCTATGTTGTTAAATTCATTGGATACTTTTGAATCTATCTCATAAGAACTCCTAATATTGGTATAAATTATTATTTTATTTTTTAAAAAACAATTTTAACTCTTTGCTTTTGTGATAACACACTATCTTGTTTGTCTTCGTGTTTCTCTGAATGCTACTTCATGCCTTTGTCTACTTTTCCTCTACCCCCCATATAAATGTTGTAAAGTTTAGGATTTGACATAGGACAATCTTCTTCTGTTAACCTACACTCTAAACCCTAGGTGATGTTATACACTCCAATGAATTTTGTGCTATCTGCATGATGACAGTTCTTAACTTTAAACTTTAGCCCTCATCTTTATTTAGATGTCCAATTTTCCGTTGAACATATCTTTGATATTTCATAAGAATCTCCATTTCTTCATACCTCAAACTGAATATCCCCTGGTTCTCCACAAATGAGTTTTTCTGACATTTCCTATATCAGTAGATACCTTTTCTGTCCACCCACATGATCATGTCAGAAACTTAGTACTTAACTTTGTCCTTTCTTTCGCTGTCTCATCTACCTCATTCAACCAGATTCCTTCTGTCACTTCATCCAATCAAGTCAATATTTTGTCTTGAACTACTGTGGTTGTTCC